GACTGGTCTAGATAAGGAGTTCTGGGTCAGCCAGGGCTACATAGTAAGATCTTGTTTCAAAAAATGGAGGAGGGGAAAAAAAAGAAAGAGGAAGAAGAAAGAGTTCCCCACACCAATTAATGTCACCAAGGTAACCAACCCCACAGGCGTGCCCAGGGCCCATCTCCTGGGTGATTCTAGCATCTGTCAAGTAAATGAACATAGACAGCTTATTTAGCATGATATCATTCTAAATCAAATACATTTGACACAAGCTAGGCTAAGACTTTTTTGTTTTGTTTTGGGTTTTGTGTTTGTTTGTTTTTGTTCTTGGGAGACAGGATTTCTGTGGCTTTGGAGGCTGTCCTGGAACTACCTCTGTAGATAAGGCTGGTCTCGAACTCACAGAGATCTGCCTGCCTCAGCCTCCTGAGTGCTAGGATTAAAGGCGTGCACCACCAACACCCGGCCCGAGGCTAAGACATTTTATGAGGCCTGTTTTCTCTAAAAGGTAGTCATTTTTTATAATTGATCAACATGCATTTTAATTAAATTTCACTATTTGATCCTCTCTATGGTACAAATCTAAATATTTTTCCCTATGAATTGAATATGATGATGGATGGATCTCCAAGTAATTGTCAAAATTATAACTTAGTCAGAATTGGGTTCTTTAAAAAGGATTTCCATTAATTATGTCTAAACTGTATCTTGGTTTAATGCCATTGCCAAGTTTTCTTAAACTGAAACGTATGTACTCAAAGGAATATTCAGCTGTGGTTCAGCTCACCAATCATTGATCGCATAAACATTCATAAGCATGAAGTAGAAAAATATTCTCAAGAGCCAGGCATGGTTGGTACCTATGAGAACTTTTGAAGCTGAGACAGGAGAACTGAAAGCCAAAGCCAGTGTCTCCAAAAAATTTTTTAAAGTATCATTTATGTATATGGTGTCTGTGCATGTATGTATGGGTATTCATGGAGGCTAGAGGAGGATATTAGATCTCCTGGAGTCAAACAGGCAGTTGACACATCAGTGCTGGGAACCAAACCTGAATCCTCTGGAAGAGCAGCAAGCATTTTTACAATTAGCCATCCTTTCGGATTCCTGGTCCTCTCTTTGGGTCTCGTGTATAGCAGGCTGGCCTCAAACTCACTATGTAGCCAAGGATAACCTTGAAATTCTGATTCTCCTGACTACCTCCTGAAGGCTGAGATCACAACATGAACACCTCACCCAACAGCCCTCAAGACCTTTAGACGAATTACATCTTCCTTTGGTAACACTGCAGTAATTACTTTCCAACACTTTATCTAAGGACTTCATAAAATATTTTGTGTGTATCTTTCAGACAAACTTTGTTTCCAAACTCTTAGGGAACTGTTTTTCTTTTCAAAACTAACTCTCTGCCAACTATATTTTCCCCTAAAACACTTTAGAATTGGCTATGACATATGCAGTGCAATTTTTGTTATTTCACTACATACATAATTAATGTTTTGATAGCTCCATATGGACTGGTACTTTTAAAATCTGTTCCTAGTTTTTTCTGTTTTCTAGAAACTCAGTCTTGCTATGTAACTCTAGCTGGCCTTCAACTCACAGTAGTCTCCTTCCTCAGTCTCACAAGTGAATGCTGTGATTACAGGCATGTACTACCTACCATATATGACCTCTTTTTTTTTTTCTCCCCCAAGACAGGGTGTCTCTGTGTAGCCCTATGCTGAAACTAACTCTTTAGACCAGGCTGGCCTCAAACTCTGAGGTCCACCTGCCTCTGACTCCAGAGTGCTGGGATTAAAGGCATGTGCCATCACCGCCCAGCTCCATGCATATTATTTTATGTATATTGGAGTTTTGCCTGTGCACCATATGAGTGCCTGGTGTTCAAGTGGGCCAGAAGAGGGCATCAGAGCTCCTGAAAGAGTTAAGATGGTTGTGTGCTGGGGAACAAGCATGCTACAAGATGCTAAGTCATCTTTCTACCCCTGCTTTTGGTTTGTTCTTTTTATTCTTCTCTCATAGAATACACCCCAACTACAGTTACTCCTCTCTCCCACACCTCCCATAACCCCCAGATCTACTCCTTCTGTTTCCCTTCAGAGCAAAGCAGGTCTCCCAGGGGCATAAACTGAACATAGCATAACAAGTTACAGTAAGACTGCCAGGCAAAGCCAGGCGTTGGTGGCGCATGCCTTTAATCCCAGCACTCGGGAGGCAGAGGCACGCAGATCTCTGTAAGTTCGAGACCAGCCTGGACTACCAAGCGAGTTCCAGGACAGCCTCCAAAGCCACAGAGAAACCCTGTCTCGAAAAAAAAAAAAAAAAAACACAACAACAACAACAACAACAACAAAAAAAGACTGCCAGGCAATAGTGGTGCATGACTTTAATCCCAGCACTCAGGAGGCAGAGGTAGCAGATCTCTGTGAGTTTGAGTCTATCCTGGTTTAGAGCTAGTTCCTGGTCATCCAGTATGAAACAAAGAAACGCTATTTTGAAAAAACAAAAAACAACCCAACAATAAATCACAATTAGGGTAGGAACAAACCCTTATATCAGGGTCCCATGAGGCAACCCAGTAGGAGAAAAAGGGTCCTAAGGGCAGGCAAAAGAGCCAGAGACACCTCTACTCCCACTATTAGGATTTCCACAAAGAACAGCAAACTAACAACCAGAACATCTTTGTAGAGGACCTAACACAAGTCCATGAAGGCTCAGTGACTGCCCCTTTGGTTGCTATTGTTTTTTTTGTTTGCTTAGTTTTATTAAAAAAAAAAAAACTAGTCTAATCTCTCTTCACAAGATCCTACTACAGTGGTACTTCAACTATAATAATAGACTCTTTTGAATAAATTCTGAAAAACCATCCTTTAAAGACAAACAGGATAGAGAGATGGCTCAGTGGTTAAGAACACTGGCTGTTCTTGCAGAGGACCTGGGTTGGATTCCCAGCACCCACACAATGGCTCACAGCACTGTAACTCCTGCTCCAAAGGATCTGATAACCTCATCTGACCTCCATAGGGACCTAGCACACACAAGTGTGGTGAACAAACACACATGCAAGGCAAAAATCCATACAATAAAAGTAAATAAAGATACACACACACACACACACACACACACACACACACACACACACACACACACACACACACAAAAGCAAGCAAGCAAGCCAAGTTGGATGTGGTGAACATGCATCTGTAATTCTACCACTTAGGAGAAGGAGGAAAACATGATCGTGAGTTAAGACCAGATTGTTAGATTTTGAGGTCCTGCCTTACCTCATTGGGAGGGATGTAAAAGAAAGGAAAGAAAACTGAAAGCAAACAATATTATATTAAAAAGAAAATATTCTGAGCAGTGGATCAGTGTCTACCCCTGGAATACAGTCATCGTGTGCCCATAGCACAAAGAGGGATGATGCTCTCTCAGCCTGGACTCTTAGGGGAGTGCCTGGACCCTACCCTGAGTGAAATGACAGACTCTAGATATCCCCTATGTGGAAGGAATTGGCGATAGGGTGGGAGGCTGGGGGGATGGGGAATGCGGGAGGAGGGGAGAGAGAGGGAACTGGGATTGACATGTAAAACAAGCTATTTAAAATTAAAATTAAAAATAAAAAAAGGAAATATTTTAAAAATGAAGTTAAAGTATGTGCCTAGGAGTGACACGCTGGAGAGCTGACACAGAAGGATAGTTGTGGGTTCAAGGCCAGTCTGGGCTTCAGTATCAGTTCTCTCAAAACTTCAAAGCAAAAAAGAAGGTATGAGTCCTTTGCAACTCTAAAGACTTAAATGTACAAATTAAAGATATATATAGTTGGTTAATGGATAAAAGATAAAGGATAGGCATAAAAGGAGAATATGGTTAACTTGATAGCAAGCTTCATTCCAATGTGACTGCCCTTGGCAAAGAAGCCTGGAGAATTCCTGGTTTAACAAGTCAGTGGTTCACTTTATCTCATACCACCTGCCTTTCCCAGTTAGTTTTCTAGTAGGTAAATATAGTAACTTGAAAATGGCAATCACTGCTCACAGTTTTGCAGGTCTCAAACCTATGCATACGAATGCAACAGATCTTGGCTATGTTGGAACAAAGATGAGCCTTATCCTAAGCCTCTAATAAAACTCACCATCCATTACTAGTCTTCTTGGAAGCAGCATTTTCCTCTGAAACACTGTCCTAAAGCCTCAGGAAAGGGCTGATTAAAGACATCTAGAACAGGGTATATTTAATGTTCTATACCAGGTACAAATGTGTAACATGGCATATGACAGTTATAAAGGAGCATGACATGGGACGTTAACTGTAGACTATTTTGTTCAAAGATACCAAGAGTTCCGTAACAGCCGTCAACTCTGAGTGTGCTAACTATGCTGCTTCATTTAATTTACTCAATGCACAACATCCTCTCTGTTTGGAAAAATTAAGATTCAAAAGGTCCAACTATTTGCTGGCGATCAATTGAGGCTTGAACCAGGTCTGCCTGATTGAACAGCGCTACAAGCAGGCACTACAGTACCCTAAGACACAATATAACATTCGGCAGCAGATGCTCTGAACTGAAAGCATACCACTAACTTACTACATACGCTTCAACAGTTTGTAATGACTAAACCAGAGCCTTTCTAACTAAAGAAAGTCAGTCAAAAATTTTTAATTTAATCACATGCAAGGAAAAAATGGTTCTACTGCTGAATAAACATGCATTTAGCACATTTTGTCTTTTCCTTCCCAGGAGTACTGTCCTCTTCCTCAGTCAGCAACAGCCTTATTAGACACCAAATGTTTTCATACACTCAACCCTCTTCAACAAAGTAGTAAATTCGACTTTACATGTTCTACATAGTCTACTGTATTATGGTATAATAGAATTCCATTTCTCCAAAAAGAAGAAAAAAAGCTTCCATTCCCTTAAAAAAAAAAAGCCAAGGACATAAAGGCCAGGGCTTCATGATTAAGCCTTCTACAAAGGCACCACAAATCAACCCTTCCCGTTGTTAAAAGGATATAATTTGGAGGGAGAAAATTCCAGCTCAGAACTTGGTTGGCTAGTGCAAGGTACCGCTGAAACACTGAAGACATCTGAGCATTGAGGCTCTCCCGCCTGCTGAACTCCTGCAGAACTCCAACCGTTAACATGAAGATCTGGCGAAGGTCTTCTTCCTACGGTCAATAAATCATACAAAGTTTTGCATGATTCTTACTCAAAATTCATTCCTTTTTAGAATCACAAAGCAAACAAGAACCTTAAGGTTTCCATTAGACTGCTCTACTAGAATGTTCTCCATCTTGAAGCCTCTAACTGAAATTTACATCAGTGTGCTTCCAAGTGACACCATTTACTGTTATATAAATGCTTCTTCATGCAGGAAAGCCTGTAGGGTAAATGTGACTGTAGAGCTGGCAGAGTCAGTTGCTGTAGCGCAGAGCCTTAGGACTCAAGCCAATGCCTTCACATAACTTTACTCCAGAGCCAAACAATACACGCGAGAGACAAAGAACCCACACCATCTGCAATAACATTTTAAATACATGGCATTGTGCCAGTCCTATTTTTAAGGCCAGCAGAATCCTATCAATTGAAATAGTTATATCTAAACATTATAAAATGATGAACTAAGGATTACTGATTATAATACTCTTTTGTCATTTAAAGAGGTGAACTGAATAATTAACTTCAACTTATCAATTACAACAATCAAATTTAGCAATTTACTACATCCTATGAAATCTCAGCACAAGTCTTCAGACATAAAACACCAAACATTCAAAACAAATACTCTTGCCATTAGGAACAAACTGGGCAAGGAGTAAACTGTCCAATAATTAAAGCACAAAACAGATATACCAATACCAATACCTGAAAAACTCGTTTGCAGTTACCGTGGAATTCCATACTCAGTCCAATGTTGCTAGTTTTACTTGAACTTGAGAACTCACTCAATAGTGCAGTTAGAATAGAACAGGCCAGAGTTTGCTATATTCAATAAGAAATAATTGTAAGGCATTAATTACTTTTTTCAAAGTCTTGTTTCAACAGATTTTATTCAAACATATTCTCTGTGTGCTGTCTGTTTGAGCTTTAGAGCTTCTAACTCCCCAGCAGAGAACTGGTATGACTTAAGACTGGCTCTCCTTTCAAAGTAATGTGGTAAATGTTAAGCGTACACCTCGACTCCAGTTATACAAATCAGGAGAGGACTGGAACTCAGGATATGACTCTACTCAATCCCAGAGTTCAACTGACATTTTAAATAACTGCTAAATAATTAAATGTCCTGCTTCATTTAACTTACACAACAACCCATACATTCACTTTATACTTGAAAAGGGTGATTACCAGAGGCCACCAACATTCAGACTCGTGCCTCCCACTCTATGTTTTGCTGCTATGTAAAATGCATTCTCAAGGAGATGAAAGGTAATACAGATTTTAGTCTCCAAAATATCAAACAGGTAGTACTTCCAAACTTTTTAAATCAAAGAAAGAAACAGTTTCCTTTTCACTGGATCCACCAGCTAGAATACCAACTCATTAATCTTCTTCACAGACTATTTAGAGTCAAGGTAAAAAGGATGGAGATAAGGATATGAATTATTTTGGCACATTTCCAGGGGTTAAACAGAAATATGCACACTACCTCTGAACAACCGAAAGATTAAAGTCAAGATGATACTATTTCTGCAAGCTTATACAACAGCTGAACACAGTGGGACCCACCCCACCAACTGCAGCATCTTTGTTCAGAAATGCTTCTGATGTTAGTACCTTGACCTTACAGATGCTTAGCTTGGCAAATCTTAGGAAATAAATACAAAGTTAAATTCCTAAAGACTGTAGGGCTGATACTTGCTTAAGGTAAGTAAGTGATAGTTACGTGGATGAACAATATACAATATACCACGTTTTAAAAAGGCACTTAAAATTTTCCTTTAAAAACATTTTTTTAAATAAATTTTTTTTTGGTTTTTTCAAGACAGGGTTTTCTCTGTGGCTTTGGAGGCTGTCCTGGAACTAACTCTTGTAGACCAGGCTGGTCTCGAACTCACAGAGATCCGCCTGCCTCTGCCTCCCGAGTGCTGGGATTAAAGGAGTGTGCCACCACTGCCCGGCCATTTTTTAAAATTTTAAAGGAAGTAGTTACTGTTTACCTCTTAACCTCAATCACATTAAGCACAGGTATGCAACTTCATGCAGGCTGTAAAATCCAGAAGTTATCTATCAAAGTGCCTTCTACACACATATACACTTTTTTTGTTGTTAATAATTGGCTGTACTGAGGGTTGAACCCAGATCATTGTGGTCATTTGCCCTGCCCCCACACTCAAAGTTTATCTCAAAATACACACTTACTTGAACATAAAAGTTCCCTCAGCTCCAAGTCTTCAAGAAAAATATGTGCCTGTTTAAATATCACTGGTGGACTGAGAAAAATGGTCTGAGTAGAAATCAGGTACAAGCACCTCAGATAGAGAGCAATTATTCCTGTCCTACTGTTCAAAGGGACTTCAGACATTAACCAAGTAAAATAATCTTCATTTTAAAAAGGTTTCCTTTTAAATGGTGATTAAAGTGTCATCAGCTGAGTGTAGAGGTATAGTCCATAGTTCTCCAAATTCTCAGTATTTGGAGGCTGTGGCAAAGGGATCATTTGGAACCAACTTTAAAATACCGTAACACTGCCTGAAATATACTCCCCAAAAAGTTAAAAAGGAAACAAAAGCACCAGCAGTAATACTTCACAGGTACATTTAAATAAAATCAATCATCTTCCAACGTGATTATATGCATAAACACACACACTGAAGTACATTTATGAGCAAATTGGTGGCAGAAATATACTAAATAAAATAAACAAAATTAAATTAATAAAACTTGGAGAAAAATATTAACTCACATGACCTAATAACTTCTGAGACTATAATTCTAAAGACAATTTATAGTAGCCTATATTTTGTAACTCTCAGTCTTAGCATTTAGTCCATCCTTTCTAAATAAAACATTATTGGGACTATAATATTGTAAAGAAAGAAAATATTCAGAATCTCAGCTAAGATCTTGAGAATCAATCACGGGACACAATTCACACATGAACTTTCATGAAAACACTGAAGCTTCTGAAAATCCAGAATCTTATTTAATACAAACTGACATCATCCTTACAAAAATGCTCTAAAATACCTTCCACAAGCAATTTACAACTTAGGACAGGGTGGTTTCTGGTACTTTCACAAAGTGGTATAGTTTCAAACTATGGTCATACTCAAATTTTTAGTACAATGCCTAATTAATTATTAAAACATATATTCACAATAAAGATTTGCTTTAATATGAAATAAATATATCCAAAGCCATATTTATAGTCAAATAAGGAAAAACAAAAACAAAAAACCACAAGACAAGGCTAGTGAGAGCCTTACTGGGTGACTGAGGCTTTCAACAAGTAGATTTCCTTTAGCTACACAGTATAGCTCAGCAGAGGCCAGTTGCATCAATAAACAGAGCCATCCAACAAAGCAAGCTCCCATTAGGGATGCACATATTAATGCATAGAGACAAGTGAGTATATAGTCTCATTCTCTCTCCTACCCCACCCCTACTCTTCAGAATGAATGCACATTTACTAGAGAAAAGTGAGAGAAGAACCCTTGAGGGTGGAAGGAGCTCCTAAGGAGGTATACCCCTTTAGCCCTTATTCTTAATACATGAGCATCAAAAACAAAATGTGTTCTCATCACAAGTTTGGTTTTCTGAACATAAATACACTATTTTTAAATTGTTTTTTCAGCCTATGAAAATAATATAGTATAATCTTAATCTCAGAAAACCCAGAAGGTTAAAAAAAATCAAAGAAAATAAAATTACCTATAACCTTACTATCTGGGGGTTTTATAGCCCTTAATTTCTTAATGCATGTATACACATTATAGAACAGCTAACAAGTTACATACCTTATACTCCTTTTAAAACAAAAGAGTAATCTTTAAGTAAAAACTCTTATATTTCACTACATCACTTAGAAACAAAATATACATGAAGATAATTATACACTATGCAGATATCAAATGCTATTTTGAGCTACACCTAAAACCGTCAGTTTTCAAAGAACTAAATTCAGTATGGTATTTTCAAATACTAAAAACACCCAAGAATTCCATCTCTCATTAATTTGAAAATCTTGTATGGATATGAGATTAGCATCAGAAACTCCAATTATACTACACTATTCTAACTAAAGGATGCTAAATGAATAAACTCATTCCTTGGAGAAAGTGAATTAAGGACTGATTATAAAGGAACAAAGCAAAGTACCCTGCTATATATCAACAAGACAAGCATTTCAAGAATGTGTAAGACTCTCGATTCCTATGTTTACTCACTTTCAAAACGTAACTGACAATTAAACCCCCTTACCATGAAGTCATCCTCATTGTACTGAAACAACGACAACAGGAAAGCAAAGCAAAAAAAAGCAGCACCAAGGAGATTTCCCAAGTCAGAAGTAAGAAGTGTCAACCCTGCCTGGGAGAAAGCACCAACTTTGGGTCTCACCACTGGAGAAAGTTCCTGTCTGCTTGCTGCAGGCATGCAGTGCTCAGGGGACACAAGTGCAGTGCCTTTTACTCCCCCTTCAACGACCAGCACTTTCAAGTGCTGTCCTTGCCCTTTGTCAGTCACGGACAGACAGCATTCTATACTACAGACAGTGATTCTGATACTCAAGAGGGTCAAAACAAAGGCTGTCCTTAGGAATTTCAGTGAAATCTGATTAAAAACTGAGAAACAGGAGGTTTTCATACTAAAGAGGGATTTGACCAAAACCAAAGGCACAAATTTTCAGAGTTTTAAGAGGTTATCATAAAAATGCTTCATTTATCTAAGATCATAAAATAAGTGCGTATCTGTTACTTTCTAAATCCAACAAAAACATTTAAAAAAAAAACTTATACCCTGTACATTTTTCTAAGAGAAGCCCTTTTATATCAATTTTATGACAATAAATGACTACTTGGAAGCCATTCAAGAAAAAAGGCCTTAGGTCCTTTGACAAAGGGCTATCAGCTCTCCATGCTTGCTGATTTATGTCTGCTTCACAGGTTCCCTCAAGTGGCCTTTGTGGTAGTCTACGGTTCACTGTGGGTCAGGGCTGCTGGCAACATAACAACCACCAGCAGGCAGTTCTTTATTGATCATGCTCATTTGCAAATTTAGAAAGTAAGTGACAAAATCTATTTGCTGGTATCTGAGATGAATCCTTAGGGATACAAGAAGTCTACTGTGTAGACCATGGAAACGGAAAAATGTAAATTCAAACAGTCTGTTTCCCATTTAACTGGAGGCAAGGCACTTAATTTATCATGCCGATAAAGTCTCATCTACTCTCTGCAGTACCTAATCCAGTTACCCGGGGTTCAAATTAAATGATGTGTTGTAAGTACTATGTAAATGCAGCAATTAGAATAAGATAGAATTAAGGTAATATTACTTTGATTATCATAAAACTGGCTTGGTTTAGTCCCACTTCTTGACTGTCATCTAGTTCTATCACATTAGAAATGCTGGCTGGAGAGATGGCTCAGAGGTTAAGAGCACTGGTTGCTCTTCCAGAGAACCTGGGTTCAATTCCCAGCACCTACATAGCAGCTCAGAACTATCTGTAATTCCAGTTCTAGAGGGCCTGACATCTTCATAGAGACATTCATGCAGGCAAAACACCAATGCACATAAAAATAAATAAAACTTAAAAAAATAGAAATGCAAGAAAATTATCACTTAGAAATAGAAGAGGATCATTAAATATTGCTTGTATCAATGAATCTTCAGTTACTTGTATTGACGAAGTAGAAAATAAATACATGTTTCCTAATGTTTTTTGTAAAAGATTAATTTTTATGTATATGAATGCTTGCATGCATGTATGTAACCAGGAGAAGGCATCAGATCTCTTGGATTAGGAAGCTACCATGTAGGTGTTTGGAACCAAACCCAGATCCTCTACAAGAGTAAGTGCTATTAACCACTGAGTAATCCCTCCTAAGTCCCACTCCCATTTTTGCTGTTTATAAATTTAGATCAATAAAGCAAATAGAAGACAGTGCAATAAGGTCTCAATCTTACAAAAAGAAGTGTTCATGAGCTGAGAATGTAGTCAGTTGGTAGAGTGCTCACCTAGTATGCATGAAGCCCTGGTTTTGATCGCAGGTATTATATAGAACTGAGTGTTGGTAGTACATGGCTGCAATTTTGGAGAGATAGAGACAGTAGGATCAGAAATCTGAGATATCCATGGCTATATCCCAAATTTTTAGGTCATTCTGAGATACATGACACCCTCTCTCAAAGGGAAACTGTCTCCATATTATTATAGCTTTCCATTGAAATACTGGAAATTCAAAAGTTTATTCACTGGCTGACAATTTAAAAAACTCTGTCTTCATGTTAAAATTCTTAAAATATCATTCACATTTCTCATCAAAGCCATTCATTTCATGCTGATGGGGAAAAAAAACCCTCAAAGACAACTTGCCTTCCTAGTTCACAAGCACAAAACACAACCCCAGCTGACAAAATAGAATGCTCTTGTTCCGAAGAGGACTGTCTCTTATAATAGCCTGGCTCTGGCCTCAGGATCTTTATTACCAAGAATAAACTGTATGAAAGGTTGCCACACTATATAGCAGACTCCAGCTGCTCTTCTAAGAAAACATCAATGAGACTTTGCGATAAGGGAGATTAACTTGGCTATCACATCCAGGGGCGGTCTTGGGTAGACAAGCGAGTTTCTCACCCACTTCTGCCCAACATGAAAAACAGGAAGAAAGGAGGCTTAAATGCTGCATTAACCATCTTTCAAAATGATTTAACATAGGCTTAGCTTATTATTTCCAAAGGAAGTAAGGCAAACATGAAATAGATTAAAAATTTAGTTTCTATGTCAGCCTAAAAAATAACCTAAGCTACTTTTTTAAGGAGAGCTTCTCTATCTGTCTCAAACAAGTACTGACAGTAGGCCTGACAGTTTCCAACTGAGATGAACTAACCACAGTATCCATCACAACCATGAGTAGGACAGTCTGCTCACAAAGATGAGAATGAAATAACATAGTCTTAACTGTATACATGCCAACAATTCACCAAGGCACATGGAGAGCTATACCATCTAAGAAGTGCTCCTTAGAAAAGGTTTTATGTCCTGCTCTAGTTTATCTTATTTTTAGATAACTGCATTTCTTTCTTTCTTTCTTTCTTTCTTTCTTTCTTTCTTTCTTTCTTTCTTTTTGGTTTTTCAAAACAGGGTTTCTCTGTATTGCTTTGGAGCCTGTCCTGGAACTCACTCTGTAGACCAGGCTAGCCTCGAACTCACAGAGATCCTCCTGCCTCTGACTCCTGAGTGCTGGGATTTAAGGTGTGTGCCACCATCATCAGGCCAGATAACTGTATTCTAATGACAAAGAAAGAGTGTGGATTTGAGTGGCTGGGAGGATATAGGAGAAATTGAAGGAGGGGAAATCATAATCAGAATACACTGTATGAAAAAAATCTATTTTCAATAAAAAATAAGAATAATTTCTTTAAAAGGCTTTATGAAGGCTGAAGAGCTATATCTTTACAGCAATAAAGCAAGGCACTATGCTTAAATGTCATCTCCTAATGTTTTACATGTTTATGAAACTTTCCATATAAAGCATTTAAGGGAAATCTAAGGAGTGAGCAATCATATTTTTCAAACACACAATAATTAGCTTTCACTAGCAGATAACTGTGTTCTGTACCTCAACACTTAGAGAATAGTTAGTTACATAGTGTGGATTATTAGAGCTTATGCTCCCAAGATCTGAAAAGAAAGGCTGGGAGGCTGCTAGGAAGATGTTATAAAAACTCACTGCATAAGTAGCCTCTGGGATGACATTCGGACACCTGGTTTACACACTAAGGAACTAATGCCCAGAGAGTTTACAATATTTATTTGTCCCTGTTAAGGAGATAGCAATTGACAGGGCTGTAACTAAGTATGAATAAAAAAACAAAATCAGTGCTCTACAATTGCTAATTGTCCCAAAACCCATGTAAACATGTCTATGAGACTAGTACAAGGGATAGACAACTAACACCAACATTTTGAAGGAAAGCAGCCAAGCTACAGATTCTGGGCAGTGTAGGTCCGTGACACTGCCATTCTACAGGTGGTAAGAGGGGAACTGAGTTATCTGACTCAACAGCTCCTGAGCTCAACTCTTTCTTAATCCACTGAAAACCATTAAATAGGGTCAGCTGGAGGGCTCAGGTGACAAAGGCACTTGCCATCAAACCTGGCATGGGTTCCACCCTTGAAAACCACGGATGAAGTAAAGAACCAACTCCCAAAAGTTGTCCTTTAACCACACATGCCCTTTTACACACACATGTACATACATACAATAGCCAATGAAAGAGTTTAAAGAAGCCATCAGATGATTTCTATTATTGGCATCTCTTTATAAATCACTAAAACCACTATATGAAGGTTCCTGGCTACTGACTGTTTCAGCACGCTACTTTCCTACAAAGCTCTACCCCGTCTTCTGAGGTTAGTCATGCCTCTGAGACTAAAGAAGCCTTAAATTCTTGAACCATTCCCACAAATTCTTCACCATCCACGAGGAAGATACATTAAAACATGTCACTGGTCTGCAACCTCATTTATTGGACCCACTGGAATGAGTTGGTTTCACACCACTCTGCAAGGATAAGCACAAATCGCAATGTGTGCTTTTCACTCACCACATAAGTAGAGAATTTTTGTTTGCAGAGACAAGGTTTCTCTGAATAGCCTTAGCTGTCCTGAAACTCTCAGTAGACCAGGCTGGCCTCATGTGCTGCCTCTGTCTCCCAAGTGCTGGGATTAATGGGCTGTGACACCAACACCACCTGGCTGTTTTTTGTTTGCTTTAATATAGAGAATTTTTTTGTTTTTTAAATTTAATGTTTAATGTAGCTAGCAAACTCATTTCATCCTATCACTGAAAACGGTTCTACTTCCAACAGACTGAACTGTTAAATACTATAGAATTCCTTAAACCTGTTACTTAGAAATTTTACTTCAAAAAGAAAATTTTCTTGCATATGGTGGCACATGCCTTCAATCCTAGGACACAGGAGACTAAAGAAAATGTTCAGGAGTTCAAGGTCAGTCTGCTACACAGTGAGTTCCAGACTAGCCAGTAACACAGAAGACTCTTGACTCAAGAACTGTATGTATGAGGCATGGGGGGCGGGGACAGGGTATGGATGTGTGGTGGTGTCTGTTTTGACTACTTCAAGAACACCAAGGATATTAAATTTATCCAAATGTATGTACTGTGAATACTGCAAAATGTTCCCAAGCCGCACAGTCTGTTCTAGTACTTGCAGGATACAGCTATTTCAGTGGTTCAAACAAGTCTAACTACCAAGTTGCCATGAACTACTTTTTGTGTTACACCAAATCTACCCAAGGGGAAAGAAGAAGAAAAAAAAAAACCACAAAAACCCCAGTTCCCATCAGGTGCTCATTCCTAAGAGAGGCAGAACAGAACGATTTACCTGTGTGTATTCTCCCAGTGTTGGAGAGACAAGCAGGAGGGCAAGGGCAAGCTGCAGAATCCTGCAATAAAGCCCCAGCTGGAAAAACCAACAAACTAACCAAGGGAGCATTAGCCACAGTCTCAATGTCATAGTTCCACTCTAATCCTGACCAACTGCAACAAGCCAGACTATCAAAATGCAACGAGATGCCCCAAAGCAAAATCTAAAAGGGGGGGCAGTAACTCAACTCAGGACATCTAGGATAGTGACCATCGAGCTGCACACACAATCATTACCAAGAAAGGGAACAGTGCCAAGTCCATGCAAGTGATCTGATCATCATTCTAAAGCTGTTCTAACACCAGCACAGATCTACACCAGAAACAGAGACAGCCTGCTATACACGAGACTGGCATGTGGCTCAGGAGCACTGCACTTGCCGGGAATGTGCATGGGTCTGGGTTCAACTCCCACCATGACAAATAAGTGCCATACCTTGTATGGAAGAGTCCCCAAAGAATTGTATAGCCTCACATAGATAGTTCTCAAATAATTCAAGATAATAAATTGTGATAGTTAAAAAAACTACCAAGAATATTTAAAGATTTGACACTTAAAAATCAGAATCACCAGGCACTACCAACTTCAGCTCTATAGGGATCATTCCAAGGATCAGAGCTGGCCTGTAATACCAACTCCTGTTTCTCCAGTCTCTGGAAAAATTACTACAACCAGACATTTCCTAAATATCAACAAGATGGGGAAGTCATGCTCCTTGAAGTAATTTGATGAAGAACAATGGCCTGACATCTGCTGACCTGACAGAACCATCTGAAGTCACAGTGTATTAATGATTTTTACTATGCCAAATACCATTTGTATTTAACTCAACCATTTCTATAATTATTGGCAAGTACCAGTGCTCATTAAAACTGAGGGTGGGAAAATGTTCAATAGAAATGATTAAGATTATGAAAAAACAAGTGTGGTGGCATATGCCTTTAATTCCAGAACTCAGGAGACAGAGGGAGAAAAGCATATCTCAGATTTCCTGGCTAGCGAGGGCTACATACTAAGCCCAAGTCTCCCCAACCACAGAAAAAAGAATATCATGGTATATTAACTCATCATGTTTTACAATCAATTATGAGCACAATGGCAACACAGAAAAACAGACTCAAATGAAAAGGCTAAATATACTTTATCTGTATTACACATATTTAAAGATCAGAAGAAATGTTTGAACAAATAAAACTGCTTGGCACATTAATTTGCATGCCTTTCTTTTTATACTATTATTAACCAGAATAGTATTTTGTGATAGGCAAAATGAAAATTATTTATAGTTAGCATACTTACCACAGTGGGATTGCCACTACTTATCAATTGGCCGACTTCATGAAAAATGCTTTTGCAGTCAATTGACTTATCTAGTGATCCTCTTTTCACAATTACTGCTACTGCTAATAGAATCTGTTCCCGAACATACTTTTGGAGGCTGCAAAACATAAAAATTGTGAAAAATTTTATCTATATCTACCAGAAGCTACTAATAATGCCACCTACACTTGAGAGCAGTATAATCCACTAAGTTATATAGAGACTTACAGACCTGCTTAGCTCTGTTACTTTCTGGCTATGTCACCCTGGGAAACCCAGCAAACAGTCTTGGCTTTCTCTTCTTCAAAATGGAGATCGTCAGGAAATGTTGTAAAACCTAATGTTCCACCCTAATCTAAGCTACATAGTCAATTTCAGGATTGTGCTATACCACAAACAAGACCCTGTTTCAAAAAGGCAAACAACAGCAACAACAACAAAAAAAAAGCAACATGTTCTGCCCTAGGATTGTGTCCACTACACACATTCTAGATGCTTTAGGCAGTGTCCAATACATGCTGAGTCAGTTCTTGTTGAATACATAAGGTGGGGGTGTTACTAAGGTAATTCTGACTCAATATTCATCTCCAACTAGCAGTATCTCAATCCTTACTGTTTAATGAGAAAAGGCAAATTCCAGCTCTCCAAGAGTTGTATAGAAGATAGGTGTCACCTGAGTGACAGTACAAACACCATTCCAGCCAAGGCATTCTGGAAAGCCTATTGACCACAAGGGCACAGAAACTTAAATGCCTTTTTGGAACCCCCTCTTAAAGGTCTGGCTACAAAAACACAAACCTTGTAATATAACATCTCAAATGTCATAAAGATGTGCCCTTGTAACCTTGGGACAAGTCACTCCCTTACCATGGCCAACAAGACCAACCCTAGCTTTCCTGGAAGAATTCCTACGTCCTGTTGTCCCAAGTAATTATTAATAATGCTTACTTTTACTTTCAAAGGTGTCCCACTTTGAATACCTTTGGAAGCAGAGTTATACATACAGTCGTGAGCTTTTAAGTCTGTGACAGCCAAGTACCTGCTCCGCTCTGACCTCACTCTTCTCACACTCAGACAGCAGACATATGGAACTCCTCAGTTCCTGGCTCCACACTTATACTTCCAGGCCTATCCAAGTCTATCCCCTCTGCCAAAACTGTGATGTCACTTTGGCTCCCAAGGCACCAGCATGTGGCATGACTTAGCTGTTACTACTAAACTCAACCACCTACTCTAAGAACATTAATGTATGTAAAACTCAGGATTTGCCATATAGAAGGCATTTTCTGAACATTTATTTTCAAGCATGTGTCCCTACATCAAGACTAAAGTCAAAATATTCTTACAAAATACAGATTTGAGCTGGGGGTGGTAGCACATGCCTTTAATACCAGCATTCAGGAGGCAGAGGCTATTGGACCTTTGGGTGTGAACCTAGTCTACACAGCAAGTTCCAGGCCAGCCAGAACTTCACAGTGAGACCCTGCCTAAAAGGAAAACAAAAAACAAAACAAAACAACAAAAACAAAAACAAAAAAAAAACCTCTACCGGCAAGAATTAGGAAATAATAGAAAATTAAAACATTTACTCAGGGGCTGGAGAAATGGCTCAGAGATTAAGAGTACTGCCTGCTCTTCCAGTGGTCCTGAGTTCAATTCCTAGCAACCACATGATGGTACACAACTATCTGTAATGAGATCTGGTGCCCTCTTCTGGCCTGCAGGCATACATGCGGGCAGAGCACTGTATACATCATAAATAAAATAAATCTTTAAAAAAAACCATTTACTCAGGTTTTTTTTTTAAGATTTATTTATTTATTACATATCCAGTGTTCTGCCTACATGCCTTAGGTTTGGTTCCCAGCACCTAAACAGTGGCTCACAAGCACCTGTAACTCCAGCTCTCTTCTGAATGTTTGGGGCACCAGGCATGCACATGGTGGGCATACACATGTGCAGAAAAATACCCATACACAGCAGCTGGAGAGATGGCTTGGCAACCAAGAGCACTTACTGCTCTTCTCAAGAACATGGGTTCAGCTCCCAGCACACACATGGTGGCTTACAATCACCTATCACTCCAGTTCTAGGGAATCAGACACCTTCTTCTGACCTCAACAGGCACAGATATACATGCAAGCAAGAAGCCTCATAAAGTAAAATAAATATATCTAATAAAGTACTCATGCACATAGAATTTTTAATTTAAAAAAGGCATGATAACTGAATATAACATCTAATTTGTAGTTAAATCCTAGACTAAAAAACAAACAATGTATTTTACCTAACTACAGAAAGCAACGAGCCAAAGAGACAGACTGCATATTAGTAAGAAAAATAACCTATGGTGGGAAGATAAACCTAACATTAGTAAAATAACTAAGGAACTCAGAATATACAGTCAGGATGATATTAAGTAATAACATGACAATTAGGTCTAAAGTATTGACAGTGTGGTCTCAGGAGAGACACTCAAGTATTTAAGATGAAAGCATTGCAGTGTGCATGGCAATTTGCTCAAATGTGACAAACTGTTAACTGAATTGCCCAGAGTGGTGGCACATGCCTTTAATCCCAGCACTCAGCAGGCAGATCTCTGTGAGTTCAAGTACATCCAAGGCTACCCAGCAAAATTCTGTCATGAAAAGCCAATATATAAATGTATACTGAGCTTCTACCAGGATAGGGATTTATACGTGTTCATTGTGCTGTTGTGTCATCTTTCCTGAAAGTTTAAAGACGTTTTCAAACTAGTGTAGGGAGAAGGCAGTCCTTACCCAGCATACACAAGATTTTGGTTCTATCTCCAGACACCGTACACACAGCACTAACCCACAGTTGGGGGGAAAAAGTGAACTATTTCAACATAGAACCTTTTGTAATCAACTCTAAAATAGCTTCTAAACTAATCAGAATGATTTAAGAATGGTATTAATTTGGATAGCACAAGAAAGTACATATACAATCGAGGAATATCTCTCCCACAATACATCTACCCCAGCTCTACAGAGTTCTAGCTTTCATGGAATGGAATGGGAAACGCTGTCAAGGAGGTCAAAAGTTCTACTGTGACACTGACTGCTTAAGAAAAACCACCCTGTGACTCAACCATATGAAAAATATCATTAAATCACTGTTCTATAAAAGTAAAAACAGAATAAAACCCCAGAAAAATAAAGACAATACCTACACCTAGGAGCAGGGTGTCACAAAGCCTGCTCTTCAGACACAGTGGCCTAAATAAAGCTACTAATTGCATACAAATACTTCTTTTCTTTTTTTCTCTTCTCCCAGTTTTTAATGGCAGTCTCATATTGTAGGCCAGTCTGGCTTTGAACTTAAAGTATCCCTTCTGCCTTTGCCTTCGAAATGCTGAAATTAGAGGTAAGATGTACTGTTCCTAGCTTTAAGGTGGCACACACTTTTAATCCCAGGGTTTAGAAGGTTGAGGCAGGTGGATCTCTATGAGTTCGAAGCCAGTTACCACTTAGTCTTTAGAGCCAAGTTTCAGGAGACACTCCAAAGATACAGAGTAACTCTTGAAAAACAAAACAAAACAAAAACACCTGAGCTATATATATATACCCAGTCCCTACTTTTTTTAAAGTCTTGCTACAGATAACCATAGACCTTCATGTTTAATTCCTTTTATTATATAAATACAAATGCAAAGATTTCTCTCAACTTCTCTTTAACCATAAAAATACATTATCAGTCCAGTCATGGTGGTACATGCTAATCCCAGCACTCAGGAGGCAGACAGAGGCAGGTGGATCTCTGTGATTTTAAGGCCAGCCTGGTCTACAGAGTGAGTTCCAGGATAGCCAGGACTGTTTCACAGAGAAATCCTGTCTCAGGGGAAAGAAAAAAAAATAGAAGAAGAAAATTTATTTCAAATTATTTTGCCAGGATAAAGATCAAAATGACCATCATTTTTAGTAAAATATAGCAAAAAATTTGTTCTTGTATGGAATTGACACATTCATTTTGCCTCATTCCTGAAAGCTTATCTTTTTAAATGAACAGTTTAGTGCCTTTTCTTCTAAAATATTTTCTATACACATATATATGTATCATTTGGCCTTTTGGTGGCTTAATTTCTTCCTTCTCCTCTCTGAGGATGTGCAGCTAGCTACATCTTATAATACTTAATCCACCTTAAACTTAGTCCATTCCTAAGCATATTAAAAGAAATAAAACATCCTACCACCCATCTAAGAACAAGTAAGTGTAAGTTTTGACAGTCAAAAGTCAAAAATTATAATCAAATTCTTCAAAACTCAACAATGGTATTTTCTTTAGTATCAGAAACCTAAGTAAAAGTTATGATCTTCATCAAGTATCAAAGCAAGCTATAAGCCGGGCGTTGGTGGCGCACGCCTTTAATCCCAGCACTTGGGAGGCAGAGGCAGGCGGATCTCTGTGAGTTGGAGGCCATCCTGGTCTACAAAGCGAGTTCCAGGAGAGCCTCCAAAACAATACAGAGAAACCCTGTCTCGAAAAAAACAAAAACAAAACAAAACAAAAGCAAGCTATAATGTACGTGAATTTCCAAGATATGAGCCCTAGCACAGAGCTTGCCCACAAACATCACCATTAAAAAGAAGGGATCTCTAAAAGGACAGATCATAGAGGTATTTTAGCAGTGTCACCCCGTGTACTTACTTAGGTCTTTGCAAGACATAGGTTAGGAGGAATGTTCTCAGTGACTCGATGCTACCTTTTTCCAAGAGAACCCACTCTCGGACAACTGCTTCCATTATGGCTGTGGCAGCTTGAAAAAGGACATAGTCCACTTTACTGGTTTCTGGAGAGAAAATTAAAAGCTCTCTTTAAACACTAGTTCATATTACCTTGTATATTTTGCATTCATTAATTTTAAGACAGAACTTTTCAGACAAGGAATAAGATGGTTACCTGTTCTGTTTTTAATCCAGTGACCTTGCTCTAGCACCACAAAGAGGTTAGTTCCTCTCAGAAGACACCTCAGGCAGGTGGCAGCTAATCACCGATCACAATTTTCACAAACTTTCCTCACCTCTCTTCAACTGTTACTTCCAAAGCATGAAGAACTAAAAAATAACACAGCTTTAAAAAGTAAAAATAAAAATATGAAGCAATCAGAAAGTGTACTAAGAGATTCTCACCCTGTGCAATACTGGAACGTTTATTGGAAAAATAACTTATTAAACTGGTCTTTGAACATTACTATTTGTGATGAGCCATGCTGCCAAAATATCGCAGCTTTTAAGTAAGCCTTCAGCAGGATGACCCACCTCAATAGCAAGTTCAGAAATAAACAACCACATGGAAGTTCTTTGCCTCAAATGGTCAAGTACAGTGAGCCCCATTTACACAAGGTGAGAAGTCCTCCTTACTTTTCTGATTGCAGTACTGATTAAAATGAGTAATCCCAAGACTACACCTATTAGAAAGACCCAGCCTATCTGGCAAAGTCAGAGGAGCTGAGCTAAAACCTGAACCAGGGAAAAAATAGAAAATTAACACACTTAAATATTTATGTTAATTTTCTATTTTTTCTGTTAGTGTATACTGCTACAGTTTCCAAAAAGCATTATTAAAAAGGAAAAACAGTCAAAATGAAGTCAAGAAAAAGCAGAAATTCTCTGAAGGTCTAAAAAATAACCACATGAAACTCTTCAAGTCTGAGTAAATTACAGATTATGTACCAAGACCACTGGGTGTAAGTATCTGAAAGTCACAAGAAATAAACTCTAGGCTTAGAATTGTGCCTTCTAGAACTCAGAAGACAGCAAGTACAGACTCTGTTTTCTAACTCAAGCTCAGGTCATTAAAAATGTTACATGTTCTTAATACATTAACTATGAAAATATGGGAGAAAAGGTGTACCCTGTCTAAGAGTGTCATTGTAGCCACGAGGTTTGAATACAGCAAAAGTAGAAAGAACCAATCAGGGTCTTTGTTTCTATATTTTGATTAGTCTTTGCTACTTTAATATGAATTGACTGAGATGATTAGAAGTTACAAAAATTTAGAAACTTTAAAATACAATAAATGACTAATTAATAAATTAATAATTCTGAAAACATGATCTCATTATTTAAAAAAAATTTAACTTTCCAAGAGTGAGGGTAGATTTTATTCTAAGATTCAAACAATTTTAGTCAGAAACAGGTTCTATCTCCCTTAAGAAGATACATGACTGGGTCTGATAAAGGTAAATACTCTCATTAGAGAGTTCTTTGAGTCCATCTACAATGAAATCCTTAACTACAGATCTTAACAGAGGATAAAATAGGAAAGTCTCACATAAAGAAACAGCAAAGATGACAATCTTTCAGCTGCAGCAACTGACGCTCTAACAGAGCGGAAACGTGAAGTAACACTAAACCATGCTAAAGCACATGCCACCAAAGGCAAGGCCAAGTAGGCACTTTGATTAGTCATGAGCCTTTAAACACCCTTATTTAAACCATTCCTCTACCCTACTCTTCTGACATTTGAAAGTTTTCAAGAGACACTTTGTAACTTTTCTTCAACACCTACCTCTACACGGCAGGAAATAAGGTTGTCTCTAACTAAGAAGAGAAATCCTAAAAGAGAAAGCTAAGTTCCAAATTGAAAAGTAGGACTTTTCTGAAGAGTATTGCATTTTCTGATCAACACTACTACTAGCCTCCAAAGAGTGTATTTACACACAGCATACATGTGTAAGAGGCGCTAGAAAGTGCTCTGCACGCTGGCCAGTACTCACTTCCAGAGCTTCTGCATACACCCAAGTCTCAGTCTCACTCTTCCATGAAGATGACTGACATTGCAAGATCTTCCTGTTTAACTCACAACTTAGCTAGAATGCCTTACATTCCTTGAGGAAGAGCCGCTGCTGGCTACACAGTGCTATGATAAACTACTTGAGGTTACTTTGCAGAGTGCCTTCTTTGCTACCACAGTAACTGCAATAATTATGGAACTATAAATCATTCTGTGGTGGGAGTGTTTAAGACAGAATTTCTTTCTGTAACAGCGCTGGATGGCCTTGAACTCACAGAGATCCACCTGTGTCTTCCTGTGTTCTAAAAAAGCAAGTCTACTATAGAAGATCAGCCCCTGCAGTATGACCTGAAAGGTTTCTGCTCAAACCATACACTGTAAAACTCTGAAGGCCAGCTCTTCTAGCACAATGCCGCCTACACCTACTGAATAATAGTAAAGTCTCAGTTGAGAGATGATAAAATTGGCAGCTTTTCCAAAGACAATTTTCCAAATACAGAACTTAAGTTTCCTAGCCCAATTAGATATTCTGGTTTGCTTCACTTTGTGCCGGCTGCCTAAGATAAGCAAATGGAATCCATTTCTCCCTGAGAAGGTAAAGGAGTGCTACAGAGGTTCCTCCAGAAGTGGTAAGCCAATCCCCAATCCCTCCTATTTCCTGTTTATTTCTTGAGCAAGAATTATACTCAGGCTTGTTTGTTTTTAAAAGAAACATTTAACCCTAAAAAACTAGTAAGTTCCTAAGTGCCAAAGATGTCTTAGGTGATACAGTCTAAAAGTTCACTTGTGAGGAAATACACAAGATGCATTATATACATACATGTGCACACAGAGACAGAGGCATATACACACAGGCACAGGCCACGCACACACGCACACGCACACACACACACACACACACACACACACACACACACAAGCAAAGAAAGAAAAAACTAAAAGGGAAACAAAAGGATAGGAAAAGGAAATGAGGAAAATTAAGAAACACATAAAACTGAAGCCAGAAGTAAAGGAAGAGTTTTAAGAGGACAGAAAAGGGAAGCATCAAAGAGAAAAATTTCCCCTTTATCAGAATATATTTCCCAGACATTCTATAAAATGACATATAATCCCTAAATAAGAATGTGAAAATTCTGAGTTGTGATTGACTGCCACTTGTATGAGAAGTCTTCTTAGAGGAATTTGCCCTTCTGTGCTGGTGGCAACTGAGTAAGGGGTTAAAAAAGATTTTTGGTAAAGTTTAGATGCAAACATTATGTAACCAAGGGCTTTGCAGTACATTAATGCTGTATCCCATCTTTTAAGTAGTTAACAGGTGAACCAAGCTGACTTTTGAAAGCACAACTAGAAGTAGTGATACTGCTCTGTACAGCGTGTCCAGACAAGCTCAGCACTTATGGAAGCCACCGTACATCATAAATATATACGCTCTCAAACAAGAGTGCTATAGGAAAACAAGCGCTAATAAAATGCTTACAACTTAATCAACAATGACAGCTGTATTCAACAGAAAGTCAGATGAAATGCTGGGGAACCCTAGACCAGGCAGGTGAGGTATCTGCCATGAAACTCAAACTTCAAATTTTAGGTTAACAGTTAACACAACGAACGAACGGTCTCTCAAATCTGTTGATTTGAAATAATTTTAGGCTAATGTTTTAGTTCTTTATATTTAACATTAATTAAATATACTGTATAAGCAAAAGAACAAATTTCTTAATAACAGAAACAAATCCATTCAAGTAAAAAACTCAACCACCATAAAATGGTCTCACTTTGTACTGAAAAGACAACTATTACAACTACTGCTCTAAGGTAAGATCTCCTGAATGAGACCGCCACCTTCCTACTGTTACTAGCTTTTGCCAGCCAAAACAGCCATGTATTTCAGATGGTCTTCAAAACAAAACAAACCCCAAACCCTAGTAAATAATGTGGCTATGTTTACTTTATTGTACATACAATGCTTTTTTATGACAACATAGGCATCTCCCAAAACCTTAAGATAACCATGCCCATGAAGGTAAATGGTGTCATTATTTTCATTTCACAGATGGCAGAGGTCCAGAGATGCTGAACTCTTCAAAGTTGACAATGTGCAGCAGGCACCACTGGCACCCAGATGTCATAGTGCAACAGAATTCTTTCCACTACAACCCAAGACTTTATAAGCCCTGACATGTAAAACATTTTAGAAGAGATGACCATCATTATAGCTTATTTCTATATAGAAACCAGAGTACTGGTAACAGATAAACCCTACCAAAATCACAAGAATAAACAGTCAGATGTCTAGCTCCTAACAAGTAATCCATTTTGTAGCAATAAATGGACTCAAAGTTTTTAAGAACCTTAAGTATGAGCAACATGAAAGATACCTCCAACTAAGCAAAAAGGCCAACAGTAATCAGGTTATAAAATAAAAACAAGTTTGGGTCACGGTGGCACATGCCTTTAATCCCAGTACTTGGTAGGCAAAGGCAAAAGGATCTCGGTGAATTCCAGGCCAGGCTGGTCTTTAAAGTTCCAGGACAGAGAAACCCTGCCTCAAAAAACCCAAATAAGCAAATAAATAAATAAAAGGAAGTCTCCCTTTTTATTATTATCAAAAAGTATGGAAGAGGCAAATGGCAACATCATACACAACTCTTAGAAAATGCCATCTTGGATGAGAAAACTATCATCCCTAGAGTTGTTTACAAGAGACCATTTCTGTATGTGTTAGACATAAGAACTCATAAAATAATTTGATAAAGTACAAACTACTGCTTTAGTTACTTATATTGATAACCTTCCCAAAAGTGACTAATTTGACTAAGGAAGTTGAATATGAACCAGTTTCTAAAAAGAAAAACTGGAAAGCAACTAAGAGAGAGAAAATAAATAACCTTAATTGTTAAACTAGTGTTAGGGAACTTAATTACAATTCCAGTAACAGCATACCATCTGAAAACAGAAAAAAACAAAACACTGGATGATTCTTCTTCCTAAGCTTCCTTTCTGGTTGCACCTTTAAATCCACACCAACTGCAATGGGAAAATCATTAGGAAAAGTGACTAACTGCACAAACCTGCCTGCATTAAAAGGATTTATAACAACATTCAAGACCAAAAAAAAAAAAAAAAAAACCAGCTGATTATGCCAAAATATTTTTAAAGAGAAAACTTACCCAAAATATGCCTGCAAACTGCGAATGGTGATTTGGACTTCCTAAATGATAGGAATATGTGCTCTGCATGCTGGCGTTGTTCATTACTGACCATGGAAGGTGGTGCCTTTAGATAAAACAAAGACAGAGCAACCGAATGAGAAAGCACGTACAACATCAACCCTTTTACCCACCATGGAGAAAAACCTTTCACTTTGAGAGTGGGAAAGGGAAATCTTTTTTTGTTTGTTTGTTTAAGTTTTTAAGGAACTACAGTACAGAACTTCAAAATAAACATATAAAATACAGTTTCAGGAAGAAACAAAGAAACAAGCTTTGCCTCCAAAATGTTTAAAGCGGATTACAACCTAGAAAAGGAGTTACTTAACTATACCATTTTTAAAAAGATAGGTAACCTCATCAGCCTTTCTTCAAGTTCTACCACTCAGACAAACTGAATGAACTTCCAATGCCAAAACTCCAGTACTGAGGAAATTGAATACAAGTTATTAAAAATCTGTAAATGTTGAAAGTCTAGAATTCATAGAACACTGTATAAATTCTCTGAATACTAAATTCAATCAGTCAAAAGCAAGATATCTACTTTACCAAAACAACTCCTGAAGTCTGCCCAGATTTTTTAATTCCCTTTTGGTGCAATAACCTGTCTTCCATTGCTGTTTCTCTGCTGAATCAGACTTAGCTAAAATGCATATTCCCATCACATGGTTGAATTATCCTCTGATATAAGTAAGGGGAGGGGAAGAGATCGGAAATAACAGTTTCTTGTTCTACAATCTACCCGGATCATATAATGAAAGGCTATCACACCGGGTGTGGTGGTGCACACCTTGAAGGGGGACAAAGGCAGGTAGATTTAAGTTTGAAGCCAGCCTGATCTATAGTGCAAGTTCCAGGCCAGCCAAGGATACATATTGGCACAGTGAGACAATATCTCAAAAAAAAAAAAAAAGAAAGAAAGAAAAAGAAAAAAGAGAAAGAAAAAAGAGATCTTAATTTTAGCAATACCAAAGAATCTTAAAGATGTAAACACATCTTTCAAATAAGCCATGTAAGTATTATGTATTATCAGTCTCTAAACACTGTGACACTCTAGCCCAGGGAATTCCTGGAGCTAGTTAAAGTCAGTGCACATTACTCCTAAGTTTACAGCACCCTCTACAGTTCTCCAGTGGGAAAAGACCCTTTCTATTAAAGAACTTGAGTTTAATTAGGTTTTAGTAAAAAAAAATACTGGAGCAATTAGCTACGTTAGAAGTTTCTGTCCTTTTATCTGCAAACTCTCTACTCTCATCAGGAGAAGAGATTTAGTTGTGTTTTCCAAGGTTTCTGTCAGTAAAACTGCATGTTAGTAAACACCACCCACTCACAAAGCTGTGTACACAAATCAACACTGGGTTAACTAGGCAATCTCTGGATAATTTTTCCTCTCATGGATAATATACACACAATAAAATCACCAGGTCAACATATGTGGCAGGGCAGAATATACTTTAGATCTCTAAATCTAGAACTATGAATTCTTTCTTGAAAGAAAGCTGTTGTTCTGTGTGCTTGTGGTCCCAGGTAATTACCAGGCTGAGGCAGAAAGATTAAAATGATTTGGCAACGATTTCCAAATAGCAAATTATCTCCATCAGTAAATTCCAAGAAGCCTGTGGAGATAGCTCCATGGGTAAGAGCACTTGCTATGCAAGCACGGGAACCTGAGTTCAAATCCCCAGCATCCATGAAATATTAGGCACAGCTATGTTTATTGTAACTTCAGTCTGGGGGGTGGGTAAAGGATGGGAGACAAGTCCTAGGAGCTCCCCAATCAGCCAGTCTAGCTGAACCAGTGAGCTTCAGGTTCAGCATCTCAAGGTAACAAGGCAGAAAACAATGGAAGACACCAATTAGACAAGGGGATGTTTTACATGGCCTATAAAGGTCAGTAAAGAATGGAAACAAGGAGGCCTTTGGCAGCTTTTTATTTTTTCGCATCAGCAACAACAGCAAAATCTCATACTTCACAAGTGGAAGCAATAGGAGATAGTGGTAGAGATGATAAGCAGAGCAATCTCAGATTCTCAGTAAAATAAAGACCTGGATAGAAGAGAACTGAATGTCTTCCTATGAATCCAGGCTATCACAAGACACAGAGCTCACAAAATCCAATACAAAAGACTGATGTTTGGGTCTCAACTTCACCATCCTACCAGTACAGACAAGCAGTTGTCTGTTTACAAAATTGGTAAACAGCAAGTGACTAAAAGCCAGAAGAATCCAAAACTAGAATTCTGGAAGAGTATTTACTGATGAAGAGGTTAAATGACATGCTTTGTTTTTTTTTTTTTTCAGTATGCTGAATATATATGGGGGTTCAAAGTCTTTGAACAGCTTCTATTCAAGATACATTCGACAAGGGCTATAGCTTAGCACAATTGCAGAGCTAGTACTACTTACATGATTCTACAAGACAAGACAGGAGCTAACCAATCACAGAGTTCATAACCCTGCATCCATCAGTTCATCCTAATGGCCTCCACTACCATGCTGCTAAGCCTTTCTTCAGCTTACAAATTCCAATCCCCATTCTACAGACCGTCAGCTCTTTCTCTAGGAAGCAATGAGTGTTCTAAACTGTCAGTAATAGTCATAAAGGTATAATCATAAACTTGTCAGATAGAATGCTAAATATTAGCTCATTAATCCCAGGAATATCCTTGTAGGAATTATTTCCCCTTTTAAATGGAGAAACCAAGATTCAGAAATTGTTAAATTGTTAAACCCTGAAGACAGCCAAGTCAGTAAGAATCATAACCAGAATGTGACCTCAAGTACATATGACATTAGGGGTTATCCTAGAGGTAAACAGTGAGGAGTCCTTCCTCCCAGATAACTAGCAGAAAATATTAACTAACATTCTTGGTTTACTATGCATATCATTACTTATATAGGTCATGAAAGACAGCAATAAAGTCAGACTGAATAATAAAACATGCAGAAAACCACACTGTAAGAATAGAAGAGAAAACATGGTTTGAATTATACTATAAAGACCTAATTAACACCGTCTTAACTTTTTTAATAGATGGTTTCATGCTCTAAATACAAAATGACAGATATGCCACCCAAACACACAAATATTAGAAGCCTTTGACTCGATCAGTGAGTATTTCAATAAGAATTTGTTCAACTTTCAGTTTTCCCTTTACATTTTCTTGAACCTTTAACTCTTACAACTGTTCTTATTAAACTTCAAACTACTCTTATAGGACAATACATTTTGATACTTTACATTTATATTATCCCAGCACCCAAGAATCAGAGGCAGATGATTCTCTTTGAGTTCTAGGTCAGCCTGGTCTACATAGATAGACCTCCCAGCATTAGGGAGCAGAGGAAGGCAGATCTTTATGTGTTTGACACCAGTCTGATAGCGAGCCTCTCTCTCAAAACACAATAAAAACTAAGTAATTAAATAAATAATAAATGTGCTTATCCATGTTTCATGTTGCTCTTCAAGAAGCTCTCAAAAACAAAACAAAACAAAAAGTAGTTCTCCAGATGGCCTTTCAAGCTCCTTATTACATATTCCAAAGTTGTCCTACCAACTATGTCTCCCTCTCAGACCATTCTTCTCAGACAGACTTTCTCCCAGAAACAACCTTATTCTTACTTTCAGGTTTAAAAAATAAAGTGACTATATACCAAGAACCAAGTTTGGCAATACATGAGACCATATCTAAAAGCCTTCCAAGATGCTGAACTCTCCATGTGTCCATCTTTGCTAAGTCTCCCTTCATATTCTACTACCTTCTCCAATCCATTGCAAAACATTCCTCACAACTCTCTTGATTGGTGTCCTCCCCCACCACACACAGCCTCAGGAATTTCCTCATCTCTCCTCCTCCCTCTTAGCTTAATTTTTTTCCTGATTGCAGACAGTGCTACACTATCTCATAACCCCTTTACACAGCCTATACCTCGCTTTGATGACAAGAACGGGATATACAATCTGAGAAGTCTGGCTTCTAATCCCATCTCAGCAGCATAGTCAAAGGGAAATCTCAAAGAGATACTTATTTGAATTCCAGGTTCCCAATGGCAGTGAGAAGTCAATGACATAAGACCTACACTTAAAAGTGAGCATACAGTTCTCTCAAAAGCAAACAATAATACAACCCTGCTAAAATCTCAGCAAGATTTATTGGGCTGTGCAGTCCTAATCATATGAAAAAGGCCAAAAGCTTGTCAAACCAGACGCACACTTATGAAAGAATGGTTAAAATTTAAAAACAGCACTAGAGTAAAGATTTTTAGCAAACACCACACTCTGAAACAAAAGAAAAACATGCAGAAAGAATCCCCGTGAAGACACCATGCATGACCTAAGTAAGACACACCGGTGAGGAAAGGTCATACTGGCCAGGATGCTAGTGCAGCAATAAATAGCTAGATAGCCTACACATTCATACAATGTAATAAATTCACTTTATACATAGGAAAACTTGAGACTTAAAAATGAAGGCATCTAGAATCACTACACCAACACTGATACTAACTCCAGACTTTAATCCCAGCACTTAGGTGACACAGGAAGGTGGATCTCTCTCTGAGTTCAAGGTGAGCCTGGTCTATGTAAAGAGTTCTAAGACAGCCAGGACCATGCAGAGAGACCAGTCTTTAAAATTAAAAAAAAAAAGGTGGGGAGGGTCCCTTGGTTATTCTCATGATTATTCCTTCCTAACATATTTTGTTTGTTTTCTGCTTTATTTTGGTCTTTAGTTTTTTTTGTTTGTTTGTTTTGATTTTTTGAGACAGGTTATCTCTGTGTAGCTCTGGCTGTCCTGGAATTCACTCTGTAGACAGGGTGGTCTTGAACTCACAGAGCTCCACCTGCCTCGGCCTCCCAGGTGCTGGGATTAAACTTGTGAGCCATCTCAGCTCATAAATCAGTGTGCATGCTTTTCTAATACTAGAGAAGTTGCACATGGAAACTCAGCAAACAGTTACCTCTGAAGAGTGGTCGGAAGAGGTGCTTAGAGGACTTGCGATTGCCCCAGACCACACACTTCTATATAGCCTGAGTGGTTACTGCTCAGAAAGATATTGCTGGACTGTTTTAAATCAGATAATATTCATAGTATATGTCATTTAAGTAAAAATAAATCAATAAAAAGGAAAAGCCATAGGTTATTATGTTGTAAAAGCCAGTGGAAAAGGTCAAAGGATATTTAAACTGATATACTGATTACATAAGGGGGAAATAGGCCGGGCCGTGGTGGCACACGCCTTTAATCCCCACACTCGGGAGGCAGAGGCAGGCGGATCTCTGTGAGTTCAAGGCCGGGCTGGTCCAACAGCCTCCAAAACAATACAGAGAAACCCTGTCTCGTAAAACCAAAAAAAAAAAAAGGGGGGGGAATGGGGTGGGAAATATTGTGTATTGACTTACTTTAAAAAAATGCATTCTGCTATTATTTGTAATAAAATATGCATCTTCAACATCAAGCTTTCATGTCTACATTTAGGTAACCTGATTAAATCTGACATTAGGAAAACATTCAATGAAGAGAATGATAGCATGGAGTATTGTTGGCTTTACTCTCTAAAATATCTACCACCCTCTAAAAAAATTTAAATTCCTCAAACAAAAGTAACAACCTATATTGGGGGACTGGAAGGTGAGCAGAATTAGGGTACATGATGTGAAATTCCAAAAGAATCAATAAAACTATGTAAAAACCTGAATCTTTTTGAAAAATGAATTTGGGAAGCTCACTTAAATACTTCTCCAGGCAGGCAAGGTGGTACATACATATAATCCCAGCATTCAGGAGGCAGAGGCAGGAAGACAGAAAATCCAAGGTCAGTGTTAACTATACAGCAAGTTCCAGAACAGGCTCTGTGTCAAAATAAATCCATTTTTTCTGTTTGCTGTGGTGGTGCACACCTTTAATCTCAGTACTTGGTGGCAGAAGCAGGACAGCCTGATCTACACAGAGTTCCAAGCTAGCCAAGGCTACAAAGTGAGACCCTGTTTCAAAACAAAACTTATTCCCATTTCTACAATGTTTTCAGAATAGACAACTTTACTTGTATACATCATGACTAATTTACAATTGCCCTTCTAGCTCATCTACCTTCAAATTCATTTTCCAGCAAACAACTTCATGGTCTTGAATTAAGCAGTATTAACAGAAAACATCTCCTATTAATACCTTATATACAGATATCATTCCTTATGCCAAGATTTATAAAATTTACAAATACCTATCTTGTGTGTACTCACAAATGTACCATTGATACCCTGCTGGAACTCAGGGTAGAGTCAGTTTTCTCCTACCATGTGGCTTCTGGGGATCAAACTCAGGTCTGCGGCTTGGTGGCAAGAGCCTTTACCCAGTGGTCCATCTCATCAGCCCTCTTTACCTGTTACCCTGTAGGTCCAAAACTTTGGCACTTTGTTCACCTTAAAAGGGCTGATTATATGTACCACTACAGAAATAATTGATATGCTGATTTTGAAAAACACTTTGAATAATAAAAAAAAGTTTGGAAAAATGTGAGGAATGTAGCTCATGCCTGTGATCCAGCATTCTGAAGGGTGATGCAGGACCATCAGAAGGTCAAGGCCAGCATGGGCTACATACACAATGAGTTCTAACCTAGCCTATGCTGCAGAGTAAAGAGGTCAGAATTCTGAAATGGGTGTCTGGTGAACTGAGTTACGGTCAATCTCACCACTAATTTCCTGTGATCTACTGCTCTGAATCTCAGTTGCTCAACAGTACAAAGATGCCACAGGGATTCATAACACAGAACCCAAACTCCAGCAAACAAGAGAATATTAGTACTGTTTTCTAGCTTACCTACAAACAGTTGATAAAAACAGCCTTGCCAGGAAAGACAAAGGATGCCTTGCCAAGCACAAATACTACATTCCATCAGGCCAATGATGAACATCATCAAGTAACCTATGAATTTAAATACTAGAACCCTGTTGTGTTGTTTAGTCAAAAATTCAGTAAAAAAAGCAATACCCTTATCTCCTTGGAAAATTCCGGGTATTTCAGGCATGCTGTATTTGGGGATTTTGGTAAGCTTTTATTAAGTTTTTAATCCATTATCTTTTAAAGATGTATTTATTGTATGTGTTTCTATCTGCAAGGCCTGTGTAGGTCAGAAGAGGTCATCGATCTCCTGGAAGTGGAGTCAAGGATCGTTGTGAATCACCACGTGTGTTCTCACCAGGGTCCTCTGCTTTAGCAACAAGTGCTCTTAGCACCTGAGCCACCTCTCCAGCCCCTCTTCTCACCGTCTAAAAGCTAAAGCATCTGGTATTGTGTGTGAAGACATAACTTGATGGATGGTACCAATAAGGACACCAGAATTGGTCCAAATATTATTTTTGAATGTTATAACATTGTTTTATTTAATTATGTGTTTATGTCCATGTGTGGGTATATGCATGTTAGTGCAAGTGCCCCTGGAAGTGGAGTTACAAGTGGCTGGAACCAGCTGATACAGGAGCCGGTTTGGAACCCACTCAGGTCCTCTAGAAGAGCATCATGTGCTCCACTCGGCCAGCTCTCCAGGCCCTAGCGAAACTATTCTTAAATATGATAATGATTCTCCAACACACTTCTCACTAACCTAAAAGTAAAAAAGTCCAGAGTAAGAAAAAAAAATCTGGCTGCATTCAATTCTTAGAAAGCCTAAATCATTTCAAGTAATAAAATAGACCTGTAAATTTCAATGAAAAGAATGATCTACAAACTCAGTCGTCATAATTTAAAGAAAAAAATGCAAGTAAGAAACCAAGCTGAGGCAGCAAACATAAAACACACAGTTTACTGAGTAACCTGAAAGCAGTTTATCCTTACTTTTGCTCCGGGTGAAGAATACTGTTTATAATCCCGACGCTTCCTGCTCAAACACCACATCAAACTATTTAGTAGTTGTTGTAAAACATAAGTTAACGAGTACCACAGAGCCAGCTTTCCAAAACTCGAAACGCACACGGAGCTCGGTCCTGGACCAAATTTTGCCTCAACGACCTTGGTCCTAAACTGGCCTCCCTCCTTCCTGCCGCTCCGTCCACGTGCCGGCTGCGGTTACCCGGGGCTGCCCGCATGTCAGGCAAAGAGCTAGGGGTCCCGACGCACGAGGGAGTCGCTAACAGCACCCAGACCACGCCATCTCTCCCCTAATAGTATCAACTCCTCAGCGTCAAGCACGCAGTCCCAAGACCGTACCCATTCCCAAGTCCTGCGGGCTTCACCCCAAGCTCCCTCCCCGTGCCTTGCTCTGCTACCCAGTCTGCCCAGGGCGAAACAGCGTGAAACAGGAGGCACAGGAAACAAACTCTCCATCCTACACCCCAAAGCCAGGCTGAGGAGTAGGGCGGCCGGGTAAGGGGACAGCTCTGGAAAGTAGGGGACCAAGGCAGGAGGAAAGTAGGATGGAGAATCCTGCGCCACGCCACCACCACTTCAGGGTTCATCCCAAGGCCCTCCCCGGCCGCCAACCCCGAGGACAGCAGGCCTGACGCGGTAGCGCCAGCCGGAGTCCCACGGATCCTGCGGTTCCCGGGGCCCGGCGTTCTCACCATCAGAACTTTGGCCGCGTTCTCCAGCTGAGCGATCACTTCTGGGGGCCCCAGCGCCGCCGCCATCATGGTCTCTCTTCAATGACGCGCCATGCGCTGCATTATGGGAGCAGGCGCCGCGGCCGGCCAATCGCCGCCGCGACCCCGGCGCCTCTCGCGCCTCCGGGGCCGTCGCAGCCGCCGTCGGCGTCGCGCCCTCAGCGGCCTGACGGGACCGCCGAGTCCTGAGCAGCCGGGAGCAGACAAGCGTGAGCCCGGTCGCGGCGCTGGGGTGAGGGCGGCGGCAGCCGGCACCGGACGAGGCCGGGCGGTTGGCTCTGTCAGCCGCGGCCGGGCATCCCGCGCGGCTCTGGCTCTGCGCATGCGTGGTCCGCTGCGCGCCGGTCGCGCGTGGGTGCGGGGCCGGGTACCGGTGTCCAGCCCGTGCGGCCCCTGCTTCTCCCTCGCGTAGGCTCTCCAGCGTGGAGCAGGAGCTCTACCGATGCTCTCCTAAAAGTGCACCTACGCCCAGAATTCATGCGTCTCCTGCTCCTGCTGTGAGGAGGGAGCATCCGACGATAAAATACTTGAATTTTTTCTTTCTTTCTTTCATTTATTTATCTGTTTATTTATTCCTCGAGACAGGGTTCCTCTGTGTAGTCCCGGAACCCGCTCTGTAGACCAGGCTGGCCTCGAACTCACAGAGACTCTCCTGCCTCTGCCTCCCGCCCCTTTCCCCGGAGCCGCGAAACTGCACCGCGATCTTCAATCCGGTTCTTTAGGGGTTTCGTTGTTGTTGTTTTTTAACTTTTGTTTTCTAAGTCTGTGTCCAGGCATGTTATCCTGATATTAGTTCAGTGTTCATAAGGTTGCCTGGCTGAAGTACTTCGCATTGTTTTGAACTGAGCTGACATCTCCCATCTCCTTTTCCTTTTCCTAAATCTGCTACCGAGTGGGGCCACATCCATGTTTATGAGTTCCTTCTGTTGAAGCCTTCTGATTTTATCATGTGCCTTTTCTCTTTCTTATCTTTTTTTTGGGGGGGTTGTCTTGGCAACAGAATTGTATTTTTTTAATGATTTAGTTATTTTTATGTGGCTTGGTGTTTCGCTTGCATGTATGTCTGTGTGAAGGTGTCAGATCCCCTGGAACCGGAGTTACAGGCAGTTGGGAGCTGCCGTGTGGGTGCTGGGAACTGAACCCAGGTCCTCTGGAAGAGCAGCACCACTGAGCCATCTCCCACCCCACCCCTTTTTAGAGACAGGATTTCTCTATGTAGCCCTGGCTGACTGTCCAGAAACTTCCTATGTAGACCAGGCTGGCCTCAAACTCACAAAGATCCACCTGCCTCTGCCTCCCCAGTGCTGGGAATAAAGTCGTATGCCACCATGCCCAGCCGATTTTTTTTTCTTGAAATTGACATCTCTACTGTTTTTAAGAAAGTAAATTAATGAGATGTTTTATTGCTTGAGAAATAAAGGAAGTGCCTTTCCCTTCATTAGCAGATGGCAAAGTTAGCCAAAATGCTGTTGATGACTGTCTTTCCTGGTAAGAATTGTGTGAACCTGGGCCATCCCACAGCTTGAAGTGCAAGCTGAGGACGGACATCCACAGCAGATGGCGAGAACGTACTCTGTCCAGTTCCGGCCTCTGCACCCTGTCTGCATTCACAAAACCGTAACAGACACTGTGCTGCTTAAACTGTCAGCTTGACCCGAATCTAGACTTAGCTGGGAAGAGGGGATCCCAACTGAAGTATTGCCACCCCAGAGTTTTCCTGTGGGCAAGTCTGTGGGGCATTTTCCTGATTAATGATTGATGTGAGAGGACCCAACCCATTGTGGTTGATCGTGCGTTATCATCCCCTTAAATACCAGTATTTTTGTATTATATATATATATATATACATATATATGTATAATTTGTTTTATGTGTATAGGAATTTTGCCTGTATTTGTGTCTGTGCACTTGGTGCATTGGTGGTCTATGGAGGCCAGAAGATGGCGTCGGATCCCCTGGAACTGAAGTTATAGATAGTTCTGAGCCACAAGGTGGGTGCTGGAATCTAACCCACCGGTTCCTCTCTCCAGCCCTGCCCACTGAGTGCACTTAGCGCGGCTCCTTGGAAAGTTGACTGGTCTTGCCGACTTGATCTTGACAGGAAATGATCGCTGCAGAGTTCATGGCTGCAACGCCATGCCATGTCCATTAGATGGCATCTCACAGCACTCTGATCGTCTGACTCTTACGTTCCTGGATGCTTCCTAAACCTTGAGGACAGGGCTTGATAGAGGTGTCCCATTTAGAACTGAGCACTCCGTAGACACTTTAACCAGTTAGGAGTCTGCACCATTGCTGACTCGTACAGAGAGAAGCTTCTCTGGTCAAGGTTGAGGCCAACACTAATATATGGATATAAGTATGTGTTTAGCAGAACAATAGCTGTAGGTTCTTCTCTAGGACCTGTGACTGGGATTTGACCAACTATAAATATTTTTTAAAAGAATATTATGAACCTAATCAGCTATCTTAGTACTTCACATAATGGATACTCAATAAATATTTGCCAATTATAACAAGCTGCAAAAAAGATTATAAATTATTCTAGCTGAAACCAGTATATATCTGCAGAAATATGACAAATGAATATCGGTTTTTATGAAAAGTTTGAAGTACTAGTGCTTTAGGCTGGGCCTTGGATTACAAAGCACTTGTTTTGTGCAGCTGAATGAGAACTAAGAGGCACAAGGCTTGAGCTCCAGCCCCGTACACACAACGTGATAAATGCTCACTTCAGCAGCACATGGCCTCCGTATGCCCACCGTGGTGCATGCAGATCCCTGCACGCACACGCACACACACAGCATGCAAATCCCTACACACACACACACACAGCATGCACATCCCTACACACACACACACACACACACAGCATGCAAATCCCTATACACACACACCATGCAAATCCCTACACACACACACCATGCAAATCCCTACACACACACACACACACACACAGCATGCAGATCCTTACACACACACACACACACACACAGCAGGCAGATCCCTACACACACACACACACACAGCATGCAAATCCCTACACACACACACACAGCATGCAGATCCTTACACACACACACACACACAGCATGCAGATCCCTACACACACACACACACAGCAGGCAGATCCCTACACACACACACACAGCATGCAAATCCCTACACATACACAGCATGCAAATCCCTACACACACACAGCATGCAAATCCCTACACACACATGCACACAGCATGCAGGTCCCTATACACACACACACACACACACACACAAGTGAAATAAAATAAAGGTAGCTGAAAAACTAAAACAGGAGTTAGAGAGATGGCTCAGAGGTTAAGAGCACTGGCTGCTCTTCCAGAGGACCTGAGTTCAATTCCCAGCAACCACATGGTGGCTCACAACCATCTGTAATGAGATCTGGTGCCCTTCGGGCATACGTGCAGGCAGAATGCTATATACAAAGTAAGTAAATCTTAAAAAAAGAAAAACTAAAAAGGAGATGATTATATTGGGGAGGGTAGGAATAGTATTCTAACCTAACATGCTTTCATAGTCTAAATTTAAAGAGGTGGATGTTACTAGACATGAGCAATATGTTTATATTCTAGAAAAGGTCAAATCAAGGGCATTTCCCTATAGCCAGGAGATGAGCAGAGACGGGCATTGCCCCACACCCTGGAGAATGTGATCCCTGGAATCCTCCACAGTGGAAAGAAAACCAGATACTTAAGTTGTCTTTTAACTCTCATACATGGCTATGGCACATGTGCCCACTAACACATACAATGTAATTTTTTAAAAATATTAAACATTAGGGCTTAAGAGAAGGCTCACACCTTTAATCCCAGCACTCGGGAGGCAGAGGCAGGTGGATCTCTGTGAGTTTGAGGCCGGGCTGGACCGACAGCCTCCAAAACAATACAGAGAAACCAAAACCAAAGAGAGAGAGAGAGAGAGAGAGAGAGAGAGAGAGAGAGAGAGAAGGCTTACAGTTAAAGAGCACTGGCTACTCTTCCCAGAGAACCCAGGTTCAATTTCCAGCACCCGCAGGATGGCTCACAACCTTCTGTTACGCCAGTCCCAGGGGACCAGACACCCTCTTCTGGCCTCTGAGGGCACCAGGCATACACGGTATACAGACAAACGTGTAGGCAACGCATCCATACACCTAAAATAATAAAATCTCAAAATGTTTTAGTAAAAATTTTAAGTTTTCACTAATACATGCCTGTACTTTCAAGAGTTTCCTTGTGCCTGTCAGACCATAGGGTTCAGAATCACTCCTGCTGTTCTTCTCCAGGAGTGACCAATTACATATATCATGTACTTTTCCAAAGAAATGCAGGGTTGTTTGTGTTTTTAAAGTGGAAACCAGTAAGGTTTGTTTTGTTTTATAGTTAAATTTATTTTGTGACCCAAATCAATGACTTTCTGAAAACACTTGCTAAACAGCACAGCACCCATGTCTGTAACATCTGGTACAAAGGGAAGACCAACTATTGTGTATAACAGGTAATAGTACTTTAAAGTATAGAAATGAATAATCTTAAGAATTTGGAACTGAAAGTTTTTTAAGGATTTCCAGATTTGGAAAATAGTACCCCTCAACATATTAATAATTGACTTAGGACCAAGACAGTGCCTGCGGTGGAGTCAGGGAATCCTTTGTGGAAGTTACACAGAGCCTAGGGTTCAAATCAGAGTGTTAGGTTTGCATTGTCTCTCCACTGTTTTTCTGTCTGGCTTAATTACGTTTTTATTTTTCTTTTTCCTTCTCTGAATTTTAGAGGGGGTCTCACTGGCCCTGGCCAGCTTGGAACTAACTCTCTATGTATTTCCAACAAGTCTCCAAATCACAGAGAGACCCACTTGCCTCTGCCTCTGCCTCTCAAGTGCTAGGACTGAAGGTGTGTGCCACCATTCCTGGGTCTGCTATTGTCAACAGTTGTCCAAGTACTAACACAGTTTGATCTTCTGTGAGAGGAAGACCATTGCACATGTATGAGATTCAAAGAATATAGTACATGGAGACAACTTCATAATACTGTAGCAGTATGGCAGTCACTTAAGAACCTGGTTATAGGCGATGGAGAGATGGCTCAGCCGTTAAACACACTGGCTACTCCTCCAG